TTTGAATTTTCTTTTTCAGAAAATCTTGATAACTTTTTTTTTACGTATGTTACTCACCGCTTAAATTAAATTTAGAGTAATTATATTTCAATCCAAAATTTGTTTAAAAGATTTTCTAATTAAATAATATCATAATTTTATTGCATTTTTCATTTTACGGTTTGGGGCAGATTTTCGGGAAGTGTCTAGTAGTTTGAAAAAAATTATGGTTGGAGATTGTAAATCATCATATGTTTTTTCCAAATACTAAACATTTCCCTAAAATCTGTTTACATCGTAAAATAAGAAATGCAATAAAACTGTGACATTATTTAATTAGAAAAGATTTTAATTGCTTTTATAGATAAGATTTATGTTCTTGAAAAAAAATATTCTTCGATGAATAATGAATTTTTACAAGAATTTTTTTTCATTTTAAAAATTTTAATTATAATAATTTATAATATTAAAAAATTGTTCTGCATTAATTCGATCTGGTTAGGTTATATTGTTATCAAGTGAAAACTATATTTACGAACCGAAAAGTGAAAACGTCAATAAAAGTCGTTTATCCGCAATAATTTAAAAATTTTCTTTTGTGTATCCGCAATGTGCTCCTGTTTGAAAATATGGTGATCATACAAGACATAATGAGAAAATAAGAGCCATGACTATAGTAAATTTAAATTTAACGTTCCTAAAATTAGATTACGGGTAAAAAATTTAAGCGCACTTAAAATTTACATTAAAAGATTTTACCCTTCATTTTCTTAAATTATGCTTTAACAAATAAGGTTTCCTTAGAATAATAATAAAAGTGTTAACACCACGTAAATCATTCGTGAAATGATTTATGAGGTGTTGACAAGCACTTAATCGCGTTACTGTTTGTTTTTAAAATCCATTTCTCTGCTATTTTAAACTTAAATAAACAGTATGTTTTCAAATCAAATTAATTATACATTAAATCAGCAAATATTCTTCATATAAAGTTTCAGAAAACATATTCTATTTTTGAAAGATTTTTAAAACTGAGAATCAACTTTTGTTTTCAAATGTATCAAAAATTGCTGAATTTAAACAATTTCTGAAAGTGAGCAAAAAATTGAGATTCTAATCAATATAATTTCTATTTGAAAGTAGTATTTTGCTTACTGGAAATAGTAAATTTAATCATTTAGCTTTCAATTAAAGCTAAAAACAAAGTTCAAATATGCTTTTCATTTTCAAAAATCATTTTAAAACTTTTATGTATCGAAAATTCTGTGGATGTACGTACATGACATTCACACTGTTGTATTAATTATACTCTATTACCAGTGTAAATTTGACACGGGGTACTCCAGCCCGTGCAAATGACCGAAAAGAATTTGATTTTATATGATTTATTCGTTTTTACGGTTTATCAGCCCTTTGCAGTTTATTTAAATCCAGAAAATATTTTTAAACTGTAAGATTTGTTAAAATAATAACGATTTAGGGATAAACATCTTATCAATTGACCCATAGCTGGTGGATTTGAGGTGGATTCATACGTTTTCCCCAAGTGTATTTGTGCGTCAGTGACTATAACGAACCCAAATGGAATTAGAGCTCGGATCTCCGATTAATAATTGCGAGCCGTTATCCGTTCCGACAGCCGCACATTTAACCACGGTGATCGGACAGAAACAGGTGTTTCAATCAGTGCTTTTGATAATCCGAGTTTGAGGCGTTAAACTTCTAAACAATGACGTTACAAGTAAAACCGCAAAGTTAATCTTCAGTGCTTAATACAAAGTGGGCAGTTAATAAATCGGGAATCGGACGCTTATGTTATAGCTGCAGTTCACCCACCCCATATATATATATATATATATATATATATATATATATATATATATATATATATATATATATATATATATATATGAATAAAAACATAAGGAAAAACTTCCATTAGCAGACGCGTTTCGTCTTTTGGTGGACTTTAGGCAAATGTTATGATTTTATTTTGTGACAAGTATTTATATACAAGAGCAGAAATGGTGTTGGTTTTCAACATTGTTTGATATAAGAGTGCTCATAAATATTCATCAAGTTACCCATTTGTTTGTTTGGTTTGTTTGTTTTTATTTTACAGCATCTCAATGGGTTATTTAATGCCGAAAAGTTTTTTTTTTGTTTGTTTTTTTACAATAGATTCGTATGAAAAGAATATTTATTCCTTGCAAGAAATCAGTTTGTAGATAGGATTTCATTGACATATTTTTGTAAATCGGGTTTTTGTCGAAATTCTGATTTTACTGATGCATTCTTTTCAGATTTACAGTTTGTAGAAAAAATTTATTAGCAATTTCTTTTTGTTTATACGTTTGGTTAAAGCCATTAAGTTAGCGGATATATATATATATATATATATATATATATATATATATATATATATATATATATATGGGGGTGAAATCTTCTTCTCTGCTTTGCAAAGTGTACTTTTGCATTAAATGCTAAAGAATAACAGTTTTCTATTTACATAAACACTTTTAACGTAGTGTTTCCATTATCTGGTTATTAAACATGGCAATAAACATTTGCAGTGATGTTCCTGGTATGGTCCGATGGCTCGTTAAGAGGTGCCACCCATTTATATTTCACACGGCAAAGTGATTTCTGTGGACGAAGTTCCCGTTTTGCTGTTGCCATTGGTTGCTCAGTTTGAGACGACAGCCCTCTGTTTTTCTTTCTTTTCTTTGTTTTCATCACCTGTAACAGTAAGACGATGCAAAAATGAAAGGTTTGCATTCCTGGTTACAGATGGAACGCTGTGTTTCTTCACAAACAATAGCTGGAGGGGAAAATTAATTCCCTCTCTATAAGTTTCCACGTAAATTATTTGAGATATTAATAGACAGATAAACATGATACATTAAGTTTTTTCGCTGTAAAATCCCGGGAGCTTTAATGGGGATCCAGTTCACTAGGCTCTCTCAACACTTCTTCATTCAAAGTGGGTCGTCTTCCAAAACCAGGGACGGCGGTTATATCAAAACGACCGTGGTTTTAAACATCTGACACCACAACTGACATGTACGAGCCTTCACTGCATCCGTACACAATGCACAAATGCAGTGCATCTCTTTCCTTTGTCTATCAGTTCTTATGCAAACATTTCTTTTTACATTTGTCAATAATTTTATTCTTTTATCCTTTTTCTTATTCATAGATTGTAAAATATCTAACGTAACGTGTTTTATAGACAAGGACGCATTTTCAAATTTGTAGGAAAAGCGTTTCGAATCGTAGCATTATTTCGTTTTGTTTACTTCTCTTTAATTCCTTTTTTTCTATTATTGGTTCAGAATAGTCAACTTCGCCCTCTATCATTTATGTTTCAAATATTTTTAGCAACGAGAATAATTAAAAGAGGTTCTCGTATATTTGATGGAGATTTTATATTTTTAATTCTTTTCTTAGTTATTGCTTCGTTTATATTATTGTCATTAAAATAACATTTGATAACCAACTGCTTACTGCGACATACAGTATGAAATATATATGTGTGTCTATGTGTGTATGTCTTTATGTACCTCTGATTGTCGCTCCTTGTCGTAGTGGACGAGCTTGTGTGGTCTAATGACTCTGAGAACGATGCCGTCGGCAGTTCTAAAATCTTGGTAGGGTCGCCTTTCGTGGCAAGGTCGTAGACGAGGACCCAGACTAAGCGCAACCAAGCCAAAAGACCCCAACGATGAGACAAGCGTATGATGATTACAGTGGTCGAACCAGCGGACGAAGAGGGCTACGCATGACGGACATGCTACAGAAGGTGCCACTGGAAATTATAACAGATTCAACTGCAATCCGTTGCAGTTTCATAACTCGATTCTGCATGTCTCATTCCATATGTGCCGCTGAGGAAGGTCATGAAATCAGGTTTGTGTTTCACTTCATGGCAAGCTGATGTCCATCTTAAGCAAATTCACGCTATCGGCACTTTCTTTTACTCTGATCTTCTTTCACCTCCAACCAACTCTTGCACTGCCGAACAGCGATAGGAAATTGATGACGGGAGCAGGTTTTGGTGAAACTGGAAGCTTCTAGTCCTGGACCTGCACGTTAGCAGTGAATTTAGTTATCAACACCATCATCAGAAAGGAAGCGATCAGCAACGAAAAAATTAAATTCTTGGATACGAGATAAAGACGAAGACTCTTTTTTTATTATTCATTTCACCCAAGCAAGGCAATAAAGCAACTAAGACAGAAGAAATTACCGAGTGTGATAAAACACTTTTAAGGAGAGAGAATAATAAATGAACAGGAATTAAGAGAAAAGATAAAAATTGAGACTGTGTAGCAAGAAGCCGGAAGAGTGTTCCATAATCATGAATTACGGCAGAAGAAACTGTTAGCATAGAACTTACCGCTACATCTCACCAATTTCTCTGTAAAATGATGAGACCCTCCCACTAATCTAGTACTGGGTTTGAATTCATAAAGTCTAGGTACCATAGAGAACAATGACCATGAAAGAATTTATAGAAAAAGCACAGGGAAGCTATGTTACGGCGGTGGGAAAGTGATTGAAGCCAAGATGCCAGACCAGGATCAATAACATTGCAGATTCTTTGAATGTTATCAAGAATCTCCACCAATGTAGCAGAAGCACTAAAGCAGATGTAGCAAAAATATTCAATGGAGGAATTGTAGACTTATAACCGGAATAGATACACTAATCACAGTTAAATATGTTTCTTTTAATTCAGCATGAGCTTAAATGCTGAAATGTATTATCCAAGGCATACTATCGGATAGATAAATTAATTCTAGACGCAGTTTTTAACAGGCAACATTGGTATTGCGTTGGTTTTGCGTTGGTTTGTTGATTCTAATTTAATAAAATACACAATTATTATCCCAATACTCTTATAAACAAACACATCTATTTTAAAAACCAGAACTGTAATTTAAAATTGTTAAAAGTATACTGGCACAAGATATAAAACGTGTGTTTTCATTCTGAAGAGGGGCCTAAGGGGATATCACGTTGAAACATCGGTTCCCGTGCGATCACCGAAGTTAAGCAACTTCGAACATTGTCAGTACCTGGATGGTTAACCGCTTGGGAATACCATGTGTTTTAAACTAGGATATGCGGTGGTGTAATGGATAATAGCTCTGAATTGTTAATCCGGGGGCAGAATTCCAATTGGGTAAGATATAATAATTTACGCAGAGAGAATGAAAACATCTCTTCTCCTCCCAACTATGGTTTAATTTTAAAAGCCGTCTCACTAAAAGCATTTTTATTTACAAAAGAATAAAATTGCGTACAAAATATTTAAATTTTGGCAATAATTAACTCATAGAGGTTGATATGTTAGTCTGGGTCCTCGTCTACGACCTTGCCACGAAAGGCGACCCTACCAAGATTTTAGAACTGCCGACGGCATCGTTCTCAGAGTCATTAGACCACACAAGCTCGTCCACTACGACAAGGAGCGACTATCAGAGGTACATAAATACATACAATAAAACAATCAGCAAATTGTTCTTAAGTGAAAGCTGCTGGATTCTTCATGACTTTTCTCCAAATAATATGCGAATGTACTTGCTTTGATAATAGTAGCAACAGGTAATATTCACTTATCTGATCTTGTGGCTTATCCCACTTGACTTTCCTAAAAAGGAAAAAAAAACGCCACTAGGGGACTCTCCTTAAGCCTATGTATAGGAAATGTTATTCTCACTCATTCTCTTTTCTCTTTTACAACTCTGGCTATAAGATGGAGTCGCACGTGGGAAAAAAGTCCAATGTTCAATGTACTCTCGTAACCTTTGTACTCTTTCACACACGTGTCTATCGCGTAGGCCTACACAAATTTCACACACAAATGACATTCTCTATTTTAAATGTTTTCTTTTATTTTAATTGTAATTCTTTTGTAATGCATGCATTATCGTTTGTTTTATATTGTTTTATGTTTCTCATTTTTACTTGGGCACACATTCGAATGCGCGTAAGTACGGACGCAAAAGAAGCCTCGGATCACGTGCGGACATGTTCCCCAACACCAGTTACATGCAGGTTTTTCCCGTTAACAGCGGAACAGCTTGACATATCTAGATACTGGCCTCTCTGTCAAGATCGAGGTGTTTGTAAGATACCTAATGCCAATAAAAGCAGGGGGAAACAGCAGTCAGTAATGTTGACAAGATATGATATCTCGTGAAGTCGGTCTCGCGGACATTTCGTTACTCGAGATGATGTGGTTTCCGATTCAGTCATATTTTTGTTAAGTCCCGTCTTTTTCCACCCTCTTCATTTTACCGCCGTAGTTGCTGGGAGAGCAATCTGTTAGGTGTTTTCCCCAACTTTAACACACTCTTGCCGTACCTTACAAAAACTCTGCAATAAATATTAAGGGAAAATTAATACCAGGAGATACGTGTTTTCTACATAAACACAGCGAGCATGACTGTTACAATCTATTCGAAGACGAGAATTTATATGTTGGCCAAATGCGTTTGAGCGAACTGATCTTTTTTATAGTTTACGAGAATAGAAAGGAATGATAGCCATTATAGCTAGATTTAAAGAAGTTAAGATTTTAGTGATCAGGGAGGCATACTTTCGGATCTGAATCGGAAGTTGAAATCAGTCCGTTATGTCCAACTTCCTGGCTGTTAAATAATAGACGATTTTCTATAAAATACATCACTTAAATTACACCCCTTTAAAATAATTTTTCTTTTTTTTTTATTCCGTATCTATGTTAAGCAAATTTTGCACAAGAAAAAGGCAATCTACACTAAAGTAACCGATCTGCTGTCAAGATAGTTTGCTATCTGTTTTGAGTGATGCACAAAACCCTGTGGCGAGAACGAGTTTCCGCTTTCTTGATTTTCTTTTCTCATTATAAATCCAAGTTTTCCACTTTGAAAAATTCTCATCGGCTTTCTCATAACGGTATCACATGCTCCGGAATTAGATTCATGTTCTTGTGCTTCCGATTCTCATTATTATTGCTTTTTCTTCTTCCTATTATTATTATTATTCATTTTTTTTATTATTTTCCTCTTCCTCTGCTACTCCTTCGGTTTTTATTTTATTCTCCCCCGTCTTAATATTATTCTTTTCTTCTCTTCATTGGTATTATTCATTTCTTCTTTTTCGTAATTTTTCTTCTTCTCCTTAATTACTTCTTTTCTTCTTCATTTTTCTTCTCCTAAATATTATTCTTTTCTTCTTCATTTTTCTTCTTCTCCTCCTCCTTAGTATTATTTTTCCTTCTTCATTCATCTTTTCTTCTCATCTTTAGTATTATACTTTTTTCCTCCTCTTGGTGATTTTTCTGCTCCTTCTTTATCTTTCTTCTTCTCTTCCGCCTCCTTAGTGTTATTCTTTTCTTCTTCATTCTTCTTTTACTTATTCTTCTAAGTATTTTCTTTTCATCTTCATTTTTTTTCTTTTTTTATTCTTTTCTTCTTCTCTTTTATTATTCTCTTCTTATTCATTTTCCTTCTTCTTAGTATTATTCTTTTCTTCATTTTTCTTCTTTTTCTTTTTCGTCTTCTCTTTTTCCATCTCCTTCTTAATATTATTTATTTCTCCTTCATTTTTCTTATTTTCCTTCTTAGTATTATTCTTTCCTTCTTGATTTTTTCTTCTTCTCCTCCTTCTTAGTATTATTCTTTTCTTCTTGATTTTCCTTCTTCATAGTATTACTCTTTTCTTCTTCATTTTTCTTTCTCTTCCTTCCCTCCTGAGTATTATTTTTTTCTTCTTTTTCCTTTCCATAGTACTATTTTTTTTCTTCCTTCTCTTCTTCTTAGTATACTTTCCTTCTTTTTCTCCTCTTTACTGTTATTTCCTTCTTGGTTTTTCTTCTTCTTCTTCTGCTCCTTCTTAGTATTATTATTTTCTTTTTCTTCTGCTCTTATTGATTTTCTCATCATCATCATTATTATTATTATTATTATTATTATTATTATTGCTTTTAATTTTCTTTTTTCTTATTACTTTTTCATCTACTCGGCATTCTTTTTTTTCTTCATTTTTCGTCTTCTCCTCCTCCTCATTAGTATTATTCTTTTCCTCTTCTCCCCCTCCTTTGTAGTATTCTTTTCTTTGTCATTTTTCTTCTTCTCCTCGTCCTTAGTATTTATTCTTCATTGTTTTTCTCTTCTTCTCCTTAATATTACTCTTTTCTTTATTTTTCTTCTTCTTTTTCTTCTCCTTAGTATCATTTTCTTCTTCGTTTTTTCTTTATCTTCTCTTTAGTATTTTTCCTTCTTTTTCTTCTTCTTCTTCTTAGTATTATTCTTTTTTTCTGTCTCATTGATTTTCACATTATTATTATTATTATTATTATTATAAATTTGGCTTTTATTTTTTTCCTATTTCTTTTTCTGATTATTTTTCTTCCACTTAGTATTATACTTTTCTCTTTTCTCTTGCTACTCATTCTCTTTTCATTCTCCATTTTTCTCCTCCTCATTATTATTGTTGTGTTTTCTTCTTGTTTCTAGCAGTAACTGTTTTCCTGTATCCACTATGACTAACTTATTTGTAATCGATTGACTTTATGCAAAATACGTTAAGTCCATTTTGCATATCTCGCTACAATTATCATTCTTTTATTTTTATCTGCTTATTCTTTTTTTATTAGTTTTATACTTTTCTTTCATTGTTTCTTTTGTTGATGATGCTTGTGCTGCTTCTTCGGAATAAGAAAAAACACAATAATAATTAAAAGAAAATAACAAACAGTAAAATAAAAGGAGGCCGAAAGAAGAACAAGCAAAACGAATTGTAAGTGGAGACAAGATACTAAGAAACAGAAGAAGAAACAGTAAAAGATGCAGGAAGGAAAATGAAGCCGTATAAGGTGCAGGAAAGAAAAAAAGAAACAGTAAAAGAAGAGGCAGGAAAGAAAAAGAAAAAACAGTAAAAGAAGGAGCAGGAAATATGGAGTACGACAGCAAAAAGAACAAGCAGCAGCAAAAAAAAGAAATGCATCAGCGGTAGATTAAAGACAGCAAAAATCGGTTATTTGTATAACAGTGGTTTTGAGATGCCTTAGGTGCCAATTTAAAACAAAAAAGAAGCACAAAAATCCTTCACTATCTGATATACAAAACCGTGTACTCATGATTTACTCCTTGTGTACTCAGAAAAAGTCAATGAAAATGTGCTCCAACTTTCTAAGAAAAACAGTCATGACTGCAGGAAAAGTCTTTTGTTGAAAAATTGCATAAAACAAAGTAGTAGTAAATTTATATTTATTTTTTTTTCAACATTAAAACAATTTGAATGAAATAGAACACGCAAACACGCAGACAGACAGACACACACATATATATAGTTTTTCATAAATTATATATATATATATATATATATATATATATATATATATATATATATATATATATATATATATTAAGATTCAAACACTAATATTCCATGGTTACATTGGAATTGTAATCACGATCCAATTCATTTGACCTACAAATTCTAAAAGAAAATATATTTCTTGGTATAATAAAACAAAATTTCAGTGAAAGTGTATGTGAGTAAGTGAGAAAACACAGGTGAGAGGGAAATGTATGAAAACTCTAGAGAGGTGTAACTCAAGACAAAGAAGAACAGGAAAGGCAAAAAAGTGAGGGTGAGGGATAAAATTTAAAAGAGAGAGAAGTTTTAAAAAAGCGAAGTTAAATAACGATACAAATGAGTAAAATACAGATAAAAAAAGTTTGGATACATTTGTGGTGATATTAGACGCAATAAATGATTATACGATCAAAATTTAAAGTCTAGCCAATTTACAATGCCGATGTATATATTAAAATTTGTCGTCTGGTTTTCATTTACTAAACTTATGTATATATGAAAAGAGAAGATGTGTGGAAAAATAAGTGAAATTATCTGTGCTCATAGGGAGGCCGTCGGATCTGGAAACTGAGTGGTTGACGGATTCTTTTGTTACCGGAAAGGGTGGAATGGGCAGGTTTGCTATTTTTATTTAAGGTCTGATTTCTTTTCCTTTTCGCTATCTTTTTTATTTTTTGAGAAGGACATTATGCGAACAGTCGTTTTGAGCGCTCTTCTCTCTATTGTTTTATCCTATTTAAAAT